GCAGTTTCAAGCATACAAAAGGGCGGTTTGCTGATGGATTGCGTGGGTTTCGGTTTCCTTTACTAATAAGGACTAACTTCTATCGTTTCCAGACCTCCGGGCATAGACCGGTGGTGAGACAAGCATTATTCATGCCCAGAAATATTTTTGGGCGGTTTACTGCAATAGGCTTCAGCACCCCTGGGGGAATGTTATGTATTAATAAATAAAAAATTAAAAACAAAGATTATAAATAAAATATATTTTTTCTGATTTATTCTATTGCTGTTTTGAAACCTACTCTTTTTTATAAAGTTACGTTCATTTTCACATAAATACATGAGATATCTCACGCCCACTTGAGTTCTGAGGCATTTTTATGACCACGGGAAATTCCTGGCGTCTGTGGGCTTAGTGCTCGCATTTAGTCAAGTCTAATTGACACTACTCGCTGATTTGTGTGAGTTTTTTAAAATAAAAATATTGCATTAAAAAAGCACACTGCCATTCTCAGCTATCAATTACGACTTAATTGTGGTCATTTCTAACACAAGCTGATAAATAAATAAATAACACGTTAGTAAAACACTAATGAATGGTATTGATATGTAAATTGAGTAGTCGAGTTTTTTCAATTAATTTTATTTTATTTGAAAACTAGTCAGTTTTTCACACAAATTTTTTGTATGCACATAACCACATATATTTGTATGTGTGCACATACGTACAAACATATTTATGTTTGTGCAATAATGTATAAATGTTGAGTGCATTCAGCTGCTTCGCAAACCACTTAACCGCTGGAGCGCGCGGCGGTTTGCGTTCAAACACATACACATGTAAGTATGCATGTATATATAATACTTATTTCATGGTAGCTAGAAAAAGCCACAATCTGGTAGTCATTAGTATAACTGATTGGTTTAAAAGTGCATTTGATTTAGTCGATTTTTTACTACAGTTTCTTATATTACCGCTGAAATCCTAATTTATTTTTGTACTTAATGATTGGAGGTGTGCCACAGAAATTTTTTTTTGCGAATATTTGGAAATTTACTTTTCAAGGTCATGTACATTAGAAAAACCTCCAAAAAAAAAAGTTTGCAAAAAAAAAATAGTGTAAACAAAAACTGGGTGTCTTGCTAATGACATAAAAATTTCATAATTCTAACTTCCGAAATATATATAACAATAAAAGGAATTTGTTCTTCCCTGCCGAAGGACGACCACATTTATAAAACTGAACTCAAATTTTAATGAAAATAATTTTCATCAATTTATAATTAAATAGAATTCAATAAAAATAAATAAAACCATATAAAAAAGTAAAGTAAGATAAAAAAAAAACAAAATAAAATAAAATAAAATCACACAAAACAAAATAAAATAAAATAAAATCACATAAAATAAAATAAAATTAAATTAAATTAAAATTAAATAAAATAAAATAAAATAAAATAAAATAAAATAAAATAAAATAAAATAAAATAAAATAAAATAAAATAAAATAAAATAAAATAAAAATATTGGAGCAACATGAAATAATAAAATAAATTTGTGAAATGTAAATTAATATGAAATAAAATAGCATATTTTAATTTAGTTCGTGCAATCCAGAGCTTTTAATTTACTGGTAAAAATAAATGTTACATATTTCCAATTCCGCGTTCTCCTTACTAAATGAATTTATTTAATTCCAAATAATTTTAATATATTCGAAAATTCTACCTTGGCATCAAAGCGCAACCATGTTAACGCCTTCGCTCGGCACTAAAATTGAAAATTTAAACAAGAAAATAATAATTTGGAGATAAAAAATTCGTAATTTTCAATGCAAAATTTGGCTCATGGGCACTATAGAGTTGCGCCTTGAGCGGGTTAAATGAATTCTTGTTCTTTTTTGGCGAACCAACAAAATTATTGAAAAAATAATTAAATACAAATTGAACACAATGAAACAACAACAGCTACAACAATGATGTGTTGCAATTCCAGCGCCACTTCTGCTGCTGCAGCTACAGCTACCGCTCTAGCCGTGTGTAGGAGTCGCCAAGTCGCGCGCGCGCTTGAGGTGCGGAAACATTTTACAATGGAAATGTTGCGCAAAAAAAATGCAATTGGAAAAAATCATAAAAAATTGTAAAAATTATAAGTCGTAAAACTATAAAAATTACAACATTTTTACTTTTAATTGCAAATGCTAGTAATATGTATTGCAACATGTCAGGGTAAGGGTATAAGCATTTATTATTTTATTGTTGATTGCAAATTACATATCAATAAACATATATTTTTACGTATGTTGTACATACATTTGTGTGGGTTGTCTGGCGATTAGTTTGACTTCGCATCGTCGCTTAAGTGAAACACGATCTAATACTTCAGGCAGCATGCGTTGGCGGTCTATGATGACTACCAAGTCTGAGCCGCCAAATATCAGTAAATAGCAGCATCAATAACAATAGTAATAAAAAGTACAGTAAGATCTCTAGTAACAGTTATGCCAAGCATATGTATGTATGTTTGAATTTTTTCGGTACTTCTTCATTTATTACCGCCTAATAAATTTATTTTATAAAAACTGATTGTTGGGATATACATATTGTTGAGGCGGGAATTAAATCACTTTACTTTCACTTGGTTTAAGTATAACTGACTCCACAATCTGTAGAGCGTTTATTTATATAAATTTGTAATGTGAAAATTTACATGCATGCATATGTGTACATAAGTATGTTTACATTAGAAGATTACCCACGAATAGATAATCTTATCTTATGTTTTAATTTTTATTGCTTTACATATTCATGATAAGAACATCAGTATACATAGATGCTTATGTTGTTGTAAAGGCATCAAGTATCAATATTCATATCATGAGTATGTGTATATGGACATCTGTTTGTACTTTAATTTTTATTGCCTGGCCTATAAATGTCATACAGCATATGAATTTATGGCCATACATTTTAATTGCTGGCTTATCGTTTCGGAAAACTAAACAAATGTCATACAGCATATGAATTTATGGCCATACATTTTAATTGCTGGCTTATCGTTTCGGAAAACTAAACACATATATTTATTTTTATAGTGTCTTCAACCTTGCGTTTAATTATTTCAAGTTAAACCTTTTCTTTTTTATGCGTTCCGTATGCGTATTTATTTATTTAAATATTTATTAAAAATTTATTTACTCGTTTTTCTATATCTCTTATACCTTTTTATTGATCAATTGACAAAGAAAAAAAAAGCAAATGAGTATGCTAAAGGCGTGGGAAGCAACTGCCGCCACTGTGACCGCCAACGCCCAGTCGCACACATAAATATACATACGTGAATAAACGTACGCGTTTAGGCGCATGCGCGCGCGACAAATTTACATATGTTTAGCATTAAGTGTGTTGGGTTGTTCGTATCTTGAGCTAAACGATCAAAAAGAAAAATAAAAAACGTAAGAAATATTTTAATTAAAAAATGTAGGTGTAAGAGTATGTATACATACGTATATTGGATGCTAAGTCCAGGATGTTTGACTCAAACACATGGATAAATAAATTGCCGTAAATAGCTGAAACTCAAAGTGTATATATATATATATATATATATATATATTATATATATATATTATTTAATCTAATTTAAATCTATTTTATTAATTTCATTTTATCTCACTTTATTTTATATTGTTTAATTCTATTTATTTATTTTATTTTATTCCATTTTAGTTTTTATTATATTATTTTAATTACTTTATTTTATTTTAAATTAAAGTAATTTTTTTCATCTCATTTATTTTTGTTTTAATTACATTATGTTTTACATAATTTCTTTTTAAATTAAATTTTTTTATAATAATATTAAATTTAACTTAATTTTTATTCAAATTAATTTTTTAATTTTATTTTTATTTAAAATATCATATTATATTAATTCGTTTATTTTATTATAATATTTACTTTATTTTAATTTACTTTAATTTAACTTAAGTTTATTTTACTTTTCTTTGTTTTAATTAATTTCTTTTTATTTTTTTATATTATACTATAAATATACATAACTCTGTTTTTTTAATTTATGTTAATTTAATATAATCTTATTTTATTTTATTCAGACTTACATTATTTTATTTTAATTTAGACTAATTATTTTTTTTTTATAATATATTTTTATTTTACTTTACTTTTTTAATTGTTTTTCATTCTGTTATCCTTCAATTTATTTTTAGTTATTTTAATTTAATTTAAATTAATTTTACCTTTATATTTCAATTTTTATACTTTTATATATAATATTATAGTTTAATAATTTTTAGGTGCAATTAATTTAATTATATTTATTGTTATTTTATTTACTTTACTTTATTTGAATTAATTTTATTTAATTTTTTATTTATTTAATTTAATTTAGTTTCATTTCATTCATTCATTTCACTTTTTATTTTTTACTATATTACATATTATTTTTTTTTATTTTCTATTATGTTATGTTATTTTTTTTACATATATTTTTGTTTGTTTTATTTCAATTTAATTTATTTTAAATTTTCTTCTCTCTATTTATTTTACTTAAAAGTTTGTTAATTAATTTTGTTTTAAATATTTAATTGTATTCTAATTTAATTTCTTTTCATTTTAATTTGTTTCGTTGATATATAATATTCTAATTTTTAACTTTTTAATTGTAATTATTTTTATTTTATTTTCTTTAAATTATTTAGTTTTTTTTTTAGTTTAACTTTTTTTTTGTATTTATTTAATTTGATTTTGATTTATTTTATTTATATTTATTTTCAATTAATTTTTTTTATAGTAATTTATATTGCTATATGTTATTTTACTTTTTATTAATTTATTTTATTTTAATTTAACCAGTTGAGTCATGATTATTTATTTATTGCCTTTGAGAAAATATATTGAGAAAATTTTAATAATTGCACCAAGATTTAATAATAATTTTAAATGTCATTTCATAAGCTATAACTTAACATAAGTACTGAAAAAAGTTATCTTTCTTTGCAGATTACAAAATCGATGGGCATTCTTCGGTAAGAATTAGAGAAATAACTGTGTTTTAAAGCCAATTTGTTATAATTTATTTCATTATATGTATTCTTCTATGCAAATAGCTAGTAATTGTATGCCTTTACTCAGCGTATACAAATTAAAGTCAAGGCTACGAATTTATATTGCTTGGCTACAAATTTCAGCACATTGCTTTTATAATAAACACTTAAACTAAATAGAATTGTATGTTTATAACACCCGTCAGCAGGTGACAAAAGCTAACCGCACAGTTTCATAAGCACACACAGACGTAAGTTTGTATGTATGTATGTTTGTATATGTAGACGTAGATGTCTCAGAAAAAGGATATATAGCATTAATGAAGTTTTAAAAAAGTTAGACTGGTCGGGATAATGGTACATTATACAGCATTCCATACATAAATACGTGGAAAATTATTTCAAGTGATTTGTTGATGCTTTGCGACTGCCACAGTGAGGTTGGTAGTATTTTGTGCTATGGAGCAAAATCCCATTTGCTCGAGTCCTTAAGGAAAGTGATTGCCCCTCAGCAGAAGAAAATACCTTGGGCTGTATTTTTTAATGCCAAGAATGGCAAATTCTTGAAAAAATGTAAAGACGCGCTTTCAGCAAATCAGAGCTAATCTCGGATGATAAACACTTCAACGTTTATATAGCGTTCAAAGTATATATTATAAACAAAGTACACAAATCCAATCTGGTATTTTATATATCCCGAAATGGATGTTTTAATTAAGAAGAACACTGATCAGATATTGCTTCAATATCTCTCGTTACCAGCTCATCCTTTTTGAACTACTCAAATTGCTGGTTGAGAAACTATTTTCAAATTTTGTCTTCAAACATATGCTTTGTGATGTCGACTAGTACCATATATGATCGAATAAATAACATCCATACATATTTACCATGCAATGTACATACACATGTGTGATTGTCTTTGTAATGGCTCTTAGCCATGCAGACGCTGGACATTGAATGGCACTTAGGTTAAGAGCGACAACATCAACATTAAAACACTGTCATACCATAAAAGCGCTTAAATACATGCATACATATGTATATACGTACATAGCATATACGTAAGTCTATGAAAATTAAACTTCATATACATACATAATACATATTTTTGCACACAATCGCATGATTTTGTCCTTTGTATGTATGTTCATTCACCCATACATATGTATCTAAATATGTGTGCATTCACATTAGTCGTAACAATATTATAAATGTCTTCATTTTCACTCTTTCGTAAAAATAACATTCCAAAGTCACTCGTTCAATGTTTTTATGTACATGTGATGTGATGTGACGTGCCCATCATCATGTGACACTTGTCATTAAGTCTATTAAATAGACACACTGTCTCATCTCCCACTTCGTATCCATGAATTTCTGGTTTCATTATGTGTGGCTAAGCATTCACTCATTGCCATTAATTATATATTAGATATACATATATATGTATATAATTGGCACTTCCCAACCGCTCAAGCGATTTTCGTTAGAGCTCTTCCATCAGTTTGTAGTGTACGTTTTGATGTTTTTTCAACAAATGGTAATACCTACAGTTCATTTTGAACCACTTTGGAACCGCTAATGGAGTTAATTGAAAATATTTTTCTTCGCAGAAATACTACACTCGTAGTGGTTGACTTGAGGATATCGACCCTGAAAATTTATCATAAAAATACAAAGAAATCTCCTACACAATTACTTAAGTTTAGTTATATTCAACAGAGTCTATGACTATGATTTGACTCCCCAATAATTCTCATTTTTAAGCCAATTAATTTCCATCTATTGCGTGGTTAGCTTAGCTTCTGTAGCATTGCGATGGCCATGTCATTCGGATTAACCACTTTAAATGGTGAAAAGCTGTTAATGGCATCGAAAATACTGTTTTAGGTTGTGATCAGATGGGCTTGAATTACTGAAGTCTGCAGTGATCATGGTCTCCCGTTCTTCCTAATATCGGCTGGATAAGAGTGCTCTTTGAAGAAGATGCTATTAAGATGACTTTTTATAATTTTTCTCTGTGTATTATAGTAGCTTGGTGTTAACAATTTTTTGAATACCACTGAGTCGTCATTCTGAACTTTGGGATATGCGAAAAAATGTTGTATTACCTTCGTTTTATATTTTGTAGCGCATTGACATCACACTTTATTAGAATATCTTCTTTATGCTTAACGTAGTTTTGATTCTTTACCCATTTAGTACGGGGTTTCCGCCAAACCAAACCGTTCCCAAGTCATAGAAGACCGTAAATCTTGCGCAAACCCTTTCTCTCGAAAACTTCTAACGCCAACACATCAGATGTTGTCATCGTTCATGCCTCCGCACCATATAGCAGGACGGGAACGTTGAGAGACTTGAGGACTTTGATTTTCGTTTGTCGAGAGAGGAGTTTAATTTTAAATTACCTACTCAGTCCCAAGTAGCACCTGTTGGCAAGAGTGATTCTGAGTTGGATTTTGAAGTATGACTGTAAACAGTGACGTGGGAGCAGAGTCGCGAATGCGTTGACTGCTTGTTTGATGTCAGAAGATATTTTGTCTTGTCCTCGTTCACTATCACACCCATTCGCTGCGCTTCTTTAGTTGCTGAAGCCAATTATGTCAATATCATCAGTGTACACCAGCAACTGTACACTCTTATAAAAGATTGTACCTCCTCTATCCAGCTCTGCAGCTCATTTTAATTTCTCCAGCAATAAATTAAAATAGTCACATGATAAGAAATCACCATGTCTGAAACCTCGTTTTGTATCGAACGGCTCGGAGAGGTGCTTCCAGATCCCGGCGGAGCTCTTAGTGTTGCTTAACCGTATAACTTTTGCGGGAATGCCAGATTCAGACAAAGCGGCGTATAGGCAGCTCGGGATATATTTGCATGGAATTGAGAGATTTATTTTCCACAAGTAGAATTCTTAGAATTTGACGCCGGTCGCCCCTGGGCAGGGAATGTCTACTATTTCTTAAATTTATGGCGGATATGAACCGTTTTGCTCGACTATTTGTCATGTTGAAGATAATGTCATTATGTCACTCTCATAGGAAATAAAAAAAATGGAATAATCGACTTTCAGAGGCTTCTCTTGAGACCATGTCTTCTCCAGCCAAATCACTCGCCATGTACAGGAATAAATTATTCACTTGTTGAAGGTCCGGACTTTAAGGTGAATGCATAAGAAACTCCCAACCAATCACTCTAAGCTTTTAGCGAGTCACTATCGATGTATATGCTTGTCATTGTCCTGATCGCAGACAGAAATAGACCGATTTAAGGGGATATATTAGGGTATTTTATGATTTTTGAAAACGCAATTTTTTTTGTTCACAGGGTACCGTTGAGTCCAAAAAATGTTAGGTGATTGTTTTTAAAGTAAAAAAAAAAATATTTCAAAAAGCTGAACTTTTTATTTTGCTGCAACCCCTCAGAACGTGTGCTGACTATAATGAAAACTTCAAACTGGTTTTCCTCAAAATCACAATTTTCAAACTGGAACAGGACAGATCATTCGGACCCCATTGCATCGATTTATCTGATATTTTGATGGTGGCTTCACAAATACAATTTTATTGGATTTCAAGCATATTTTTTTAGTAAACAACTTAAGTTTTATGAAAAAGTGTACCTCATTCACAAAAATTAGTTAAAAATAAATTCGTACCTACTTCTAAAGGCTATAGTTGGTAGATCATAAAACTTATTGCTGTTATGTTCTAGGTGCCATCCTTTAGACGAAATCGGTCCTCCCGTGGACGCATTTAAAAAAACGTTGGTCAAATAATGGACTTCATCGCCGTCATTTGGTTACAAAATAATAATGAAAGAATTTTTTATACTTCAATGTATGTTCAATGAAATGGTTAAATATAATTCTAAAATATCAACTTTTCATTACCATCAAACACACGCTTCAAAAATTTATCGACGTCGCAACGGTTTAATAGCGTTTTCGAAGATGGAAATTTGGTTCTAGTTAACTCATTTGGCCCTCATATTTGGAGTGGCTTTGAATATTTAGCATATATTTGGTTTCCAATTTGTTTCTTTTGTGCAATGCTTAGATCCTGTGCAATCGAAACAGTGCTATAGTGTGACAGTCAGACTCGACGACTTATACTACTTTTTCGACGTTATCGATACTATTTGCGCGTACATTTTGGTCTGTCTAATTTGCGTGTTCACCTTTAGCAAAAAAAAAAATATGTATAAAATATATCGTATTTTCTCTTAGCCGGTGATAACCACATGAAAATCAGTTCAGTACGTTTGAGATTATAGCGAACAGACAGACAGACAGATGTACACATTTGAGCAAAAACCCTAACGAAACGAAAACATTTCTATGCTGCTTCCGAGCTTTAGAAGTAAAGAAAAAGTTTCAATGGTTATTAACAATTTTTTTAAATCATCTAAGAGGCGATAATCTATCCTGTCCTTTCTATTTATATGCGCAGATATCTATAATTTTCAAAAATCCTCCAATTATATTAGATTTTAATACCCATTAAGTCTTTCCTGTGACGCAAAGATTGCCAATGCATTCTTTCCCTGCTTTTTTGGATATTAAGTTCGTTTGTAACTCAACTCGAAATGACTTTAACTAGGAAGCCAGAAAGCCAGAGGACAGCAAATTACGACTGCTCAGCAAGTTTTTCGAGTTTATTGTGATTGAGCGAAGATACTTCCGATGGTTGTTCATTATGAAAGTATGCTTCGAGAATAATTGTTGATGGTTTTATATATCCACTGGCTCCCAAAGCCTAATCCTCTTCAAACCGCATTACTTTCCGTTCTTCATTCCGTGGTATTAAATGCACAGAAAAGTTGGCTAAATATAAAAATATTTAAATCAGTGAAATTAAGTGATAAAATTGTCGACAGCATTCAAGAGGCGGAAAGAATGCCAAAGTGCCAAATACTTTCACGCAGAAATGTCAACCAACTCTGTAGTAAGTATGTATGTATGCACCAATGCATGTGCG